ATAATATTTATGTATATTAAATAAATTCTCCGATATATATATATATATATATATATATATATATATATGTATATATATATATATATATAATTTACGACTTAGCCCTAAGCTTAGCTCGACTTAAGATTTAAGTAACCCCACCCCGTGGCGCGGGGGATGCCCTTACGCGTCATCCAGGGCGGACACATCTTAAGAACCTAGTAAAATCCTAAAACCGGAAGCTCCGCCGTGACGACAGGCCAGCTGCCTTCTTTGTTTCTTTGGCGGAGACCGCTCGTCCGTTCTCTCTTTCTCTTTCTCTCCCTCTCATTCTCTCTCTTTCACACTGTCTATGCGATTCCTCTCATTAGATAGACGTAACCGCGCGCGAGCCGTTCGTTTCGTTCTCTCCTCGCTTTTTTCGTGCCGGAGAAAGAAGAAAAGACACGAGAGAAATGGTGCCCGGCGGAGACGCCGGGGGGGGGGGGGGGAAGTCGTCCTTCCCCGTACATGAACATCCGATTCGCTCGACGTGTAAACGAATCTACCTACAAGATATATCGCTCTCTACGTTCCGCTTGTCGTTGATACGTTCGTACACGCGCGCGTGCGTATGTACATGGGTCGATTAATCCGCGAGAAATACGTGGTGTACACGTTCATGAATGCTGGGAAGAGGAGAAAAGCGAGGAATTGCGAGAGTCGGAGTGAGCGAGGGGTAAGGAGAGAGCGCGAGAGAGCAAGATAGAGAGAAAAGAGAGCAAGGAATAATTGCGCGAACGGCGAGAGATCGGAGAACGTCGCACGCGCGCGGCTCATCGCAGAAAGGAGGCTAAACGTTTTCGTTCTCCATTCGCGGGCGCAGTGTGCGCGAAAAAGAGATACGGAGGCAAATTCCTCGAAGAAGAGGAGGCTACGAAACGTCCGGCTGGACGTCTCTCGATGTTTCACGCGGCCCTCTTTTCCTTGACTGCTGCTGCTTTCTTCCGCTATGCGCGCACCGGGACCGATGACGATGCTCGTTGAAAATCGCATCGACGAAAAAATCGCTTTCGCTTCGCGACCGTCTGTCCGTCCGTTCCTCTGATCTTCCTCTTGCGACGGCGATGGTTTCTCCTGACTCCTCGATAAACGGCGCACTGGTTGTAACAGCCGGAGGGGGGCAGGGGGGAGAGACGAGCAATGGTTTGCAAATGTTCGGTGGTGGCGGCGATAGCGCCGGGATCTTATGACCCGTCCATCCATCCGCCATCTGAAAAACGTTCACTTTACATTAATATGAGATGTTTGGATTCTTTAATCTTTTCCCGACGGTAGTGTGTCAGATGAAAAGCACTGTTTAAACGCGTGATTTTGTTGTACAAAAAAGCAGCAGATTACCATAAATCGGTGGCTAAAAAAAAAATCACGTCATCCAAATTCATTCAAGTAATCTATCGCGTAGGAGAAACATTAAAGTTAAGAAAGATAAAAAATCTTTTAATGATTAGGCCTGTTCGTTTTCGCTGCACTTCTGTGTGAACTAGTGTTAATAAGTCGGAATAAAACAAATATATTTTCTTTCATTCTAACTTATCGCACTAGTAAAAAGTGCAGCAAAAACGAACAGGCCTATTAACTCCGGCAGTTACTCGACTCGAATGAGAGCCTCGAGGTCAGTCAAGGTAGCGCGTTAAATACCGCATAGCTCCGCGAAATTTACTAAGCCGGGCGGAGGCGTAAGCAAAGCTATCCTGTCCTCCTGTCTTTTGACGTTTAGGAGTTGCGGATAGTTCGGACGCCGTACCTTGATTGGACGAGTGTGGGGCTCACGACTGCGGTTGCGGTATGTTGTGGTCCCGCTTGTCTCCCGCAGGAGGCGGCGGCTTTGTCACGGCTTTCTCCTCGTTCACCGGCGTGGGCGGTGCGTCTTTCCTCGGTGGCATTCTTTCGTTTATGGCGTCCAAGCCCTTGGCCTCGGCGAACGAGGTGATTTTGTGATTCGGCGAGAAGCCTTGGAGAGCTGCGGAACGGCGGAAAAAAGAAGAAGGTGAAACAGACATAATATTAAAAGACGTGAGATCATAAGAGAATTATTACGGTGAGATTCTCTCTCTTTCGTGATTATTCAGTTATATTATTGTGAATAATAATAATCGAGATAACCGGTACTTCTGTCCTTTTAATGCGCTGCATCGCGATAGAATAACAGTTCACTGCATTAAAAAAAATTATAAACTAAATTAATATCAAAACGTTGTTTTATAAAATTCTTACCGTTTTTCAGAGAGGTTTTGCCACCAGATAATGCACCGAGCGGTAAAGCTCCAGTCGGCGTCAAGCCCTTCAACTGCAGCACGCTCTCGCTCTCCTCTCTGTGAAACAGAGGTTAAAATTATGTTACAATAATAATTAGATGATAAAAATTCTCGTTAAGTATAATCGTAAAAGTTGTAGGTCAGCTTTTACGAAATGCACAACTTTTTATCTTTTAATATTTAATTCGTAAAAGAATTTAATCTCCCCGTTTTGAACCCAGAGTTCCGAATCGACTTACATCGTCTATTATATTTATATGAAAGTATTTGAGGACACATTGTGACGTATTTAGACGTATTTTTTAAGGTATTTAAAGATAGATTGTTTTATTGTTCACTGACCTCAGGACGGAGAACACCCGTGCCATCTTGCCGATGGCTCTAATCTTGTTTCTGATCACTTCCTTACGTAGATTGGCTGCTGCACCTATAAATATCAGAAACGCATATTATGGCATGCGTATGACGATGAGATATCAGTACCTAGATCATCCAGTGACGATCAACATAGCGAGAGGAATCAGCGAGCCATTTGAGTTCAACAATTTCTAACATATAATTATTATAAATAACAGTTTGTAATAATTAACAATTTATAATAATTAAACATACAATTTGACCTCTAATTAAAAAAAATTGATAATTACAGTAATCTTTAGAAATTTTTTATTTACACCGTGTATTAAAATACGCCCATGTTCAAAAGTTCTTCAACGTCGATATCGACAGCGCTGTTGCAACGGTACCAGAAGCCGTTCCATTAATTTACAATACATTTTAATCAAGAGACTCAATAGCTTCGCCACGTTGCTTCGTCACTGATTTGCCGCGCGTTCGTCGTTCGCGCTTGCAAATCACTTGCGATGATTCTCGCCATCTCTCGCCACGTTAACTACTACATTATCGCATATCACAGAGCTTACCGGGGGATACATTATGTTATTAATAAATCACTCGTTATTCTCATTGGGTCACGCCAAGACAACAACGCCGAACTACAGGCAAAAGAGTATGCGCATAACACGAGCAAGAGGAAGGACGGTACAAGCAGCCACGTAACGAAAAAAAAAGTTGCACGTGCTTCGTCGCGTTCGCAATGTACAAAAAAAAGATAAATTACGCACTCTTGGCACCAGTCGCGACAGAAAGGTGTTCATTCGTCGACTCTAGGAAAAACGAGGAAAAAAAAGAGGAAACGTGAAGAGTACGCTATTGCGAACGCGCGTGCACTGGAAGCTGCGTAAACGTGCGTAAATGCAGTGTACAAGTCTTTCGCACAAATGTATTTTTTTGCGTGTATGTGTGTGTGTGTGTGTGTTTTGTTTGTGTGTCTGGGTAAGTACTAGACACATCAAGAAATTGCGTAAACTCGTTGCGAGAGAAAAAGAGGCATGCACATGCTGTACAAGTGCGAAACGTACGCACCATCGGCCACTACAAACTCTTATCGTTACCACTTCGCCTTGGCAATCGCCTGCTACCTTTCGGGGCTCGTTAACGAGAGCGCGAAGGAGTCGCCGCTTTCACCGACCGATTCCCATTTACGGATCGAATCAACGCGGAATTCGGTCATATTTGTTGCTCGCGAAATCTGGGACCAACGAAGCGAAAGTGGAATTTCACGGTTTACGACGGCGCGTCCGATGGAGAACCGCATTGAAAAGTGGTATTTATACGAATGTTCGCGCCGGGCGGCAACTCTTTCGCAGCGAGCCGTTTATCTGTTTGCTCGTTAATTGACGCAACGGTCGAGCCTTGCCGCTCGATCGATTGTACCTTAACGAGGAACGGGGGTTAAATTCGCTCCGTAAAATCTTCCGTTAGCGAGAAATAGAGAATTAGCAGAAGATAGAGGATTCGCTCTTTTTCCGCTGCTTTTTTAATTAGGGCGCTAAGATATCACATCCATCGTTTTTTTTTTTTCGTTATTTTCGCGTTATTTGGGGGAAGATTCGGTTCGGGAGTTTCAACGGTTAACGGAACAGCGCAGCACATTAAGGAAGGTGGGCCAACATTATTTTTCCCCTAATCGCGCGGTCCTGTCCGCGTACCCGCCCACAAGGTCCATCTCGTTCAACGCTCTGTCCGATGGAAAAAAAAAGAGAAAGAAAAAACTCGCCCCTCGCGTTTCGTTACGTTCGCTTAAATCGGACGGATCGAAAGATATACATGCCGAAAATATCGAACGTCGTTTCTCGTCGCGCGCCGACGAAACACGCTCGAGCATCGCGTATCGCGTGCGATTCCGGTATTCTAATGATTTACGGCACGGATCCGCGGTCCTTAGGCCGCGCCGTCACGATAACGTATCGCCCGATTTGTCAGGGGGATACGAAATTTCAATCTTTCGTGTCGTTTGCGAAATCTCTGACCGTGCGCGACGGGCGTTTTGTTTTCAGCGATGGCGAGCCATCCGAAACGTATATGAGATCGATCGAACGTCACGAGCGGGAACGACGGAGATCGGCTGGACTCGAATAGGGATTCGCGGCGGTGCGCGGCTGTCGCCGATAGATTAATCATCAGGCGAGAGATTCCTTAAATAGCCGGCCGAGCCGCTCGAATATCAGCGATGTTACGCGCCTCGCGGGTCAATTAAATGACACTTTCCACAATTAACGGGCTGCTGCGAAACCGCGAATCTTCCCGACGAATTATCGCGACGATTATTACGCACAGGTGAATTTTTCCCGCGTTTCCAATCTTGCGTAATCCGAAATCCCGTGGTTATCGGGGAGGTTTCCACTTGGTCATGAAATTCCTGCCTATCGGCGAAAACGAGACGACGACGACGTCGTCGTCGTCGTCGCGCGAGCTCGTCGGGAGCGAGAGTATCGGGTTTTAGCCGCAATTTTCGAGTAACGAGATTACTCCACCGCTCGCAGTTTATTATCCCGTGCGTTGCCGTGCGGGCTCTACGATTTCGCGGGATCCGAGAACCGCGCGGATTCTCGCGGGAAATCGCGATCTGCGGAAGACGACCCGAGGAGTTGAGCGGGGGGGGGGGGGAGGGGGGGGGGTCGCGATTCGTCGAGGGCGCCCGTTTCCTGTCGCAGGGAGGGATCGATAGAGTCGAGGCATGTCAAATATTAGACGTTCGGCCTTCGGAGCGAAGAGCGCAATTTCGCAGCTCGCCGTCTCGAATCCCCCGCGTTATAACTCCCCTTCGCGGTGGTTATTTGGAATTTGAAGAATTACATCCGCGCGCGTGCGTGACGTCGTTTCCGCGAGCTTACGGGGGTTCCGAGGGAAGGAGGCGGAAAAAACGTAAATCTCGCTTATATCCGCCTTGGAAAAGCCTCACGTTGTCGCGCTCTTCGATCGCGAGCCGAGCGTCCGACAACAGCTGTCCCCCCGCGGGACAGTCCTGCGCTCACCAAACGGAGAGGATGCGGCACATACAACGACGTGTACACGTCAACTACAAACTTATACAACAGATCAAGCCTTTTGCTCTCTATACATTTATGTGTTTCAGCGCAACGGTTACGCACACGTAATCTGCCGCAACGGCGTCACCGGTCGGCCGCTCGAAATAACGTAATTCGAGAATCGTAGGGCGCGAATGACGCAAACCACGCGTACATCCGGGCGTTTTAGCGTAACAATTCGTGGAAACGAGTTTTCCACGAGAGCGAAACGGATCTCGCGTTTCAGTAAAATTAAACAAAGATTATCGTGTAACCCTCGATATTGTACGGTATAATGATGATATTTCAACGAGCGAGGTTACGCGAACTTTGAAATGGCTCTAATTACGCGTATCGTATGTTGTGTGACGCAGCTTATCTCGAATTATTCAAATAGGTACTTAAGGGGATATTTTAATTTGAAAGGTCGTAAAAAAAGATATTTTCCAGGAATTTTTTGTAGGGAAATGAAAAAAGCGAATAACGCTAAACTTTGCATGTTCTTTTAGCTTTATTTTAAGAATATATTTTTATTTTCTAAGTAAAAAAACGTACTTCTTTTTTGTATAATAAGTTGTGTTCTATTCGCTAAGAGCTCGCAAGAAAAAACACATGGACGATATGAGTCTAGCTGTTCTAGGTATGTGAAACGCAAAAATTAAAAATTTTTTTATTCAGGAGAAATGTGAACCATCGTCTGAACTAGAACTAAATCAATATTTCCATTCTAAACAAAATGGTGGCCTCTTTATTAAAAATATTATGTCTTTCAAAATTCTGTTAGTATTTTATTAAAGAAGAAAAACCAATAAACGTATAATGTACTACTTCAGACGAAAGCCACACTTCTCCTGAATAAGAACATTTTTGGTTTTTGCGTTTCAGATATCTGGAACAGCTTAGAATCATTTATACCGTCAATGTTTTTTCTCGCATTCTTAAAATAAGGCAAAAAACATGCGAAGTTTAACGTTATTTGTTTTTTCACTTCCCAACAAAAAAAAAAATCTTTTTTACGACATTTCGAACCAGAATATCCTCTTAACGTTGACTCTTCGCGAGGATTTGCCCGTTGTCGAATGGCGACACGGTATCGCGAATGGAACCCGCGCGTAATAATCATAATAGCGTAATTCGAGAATTCGAACCTGCGACGATTCTGAAAACGGAGGAGATTGTAATGACCCGGTGTGTAATGATCGCCGCGTGTAACGCGATCCGATGTTATTTTCGCGTGCACGCCGTTGCGACAGTTGTCTACCGAGCTAACATTTATCAAAACGCAGTCGAGTCTGGCACCGAGTTTCGAGCATGCCGGAGGCCCGTCGTATATATTCTCGAGATCACAACTTCTCATCCGTTTTACCATCGTCTCCGAAGTATAAAACCCAGCGTGACTATTCGCCTCTCATAAATCCGCGGATGTGTCCGTTAAATTATTAGAACGGAAGAGGCTGCGAAAATCGATCTTAAGACATTAAATCAAAGATCATTGTGGCCTTACAATTAGTGCATCTCTAATACTTTAGATTTTATCGATATTGGAATAAAATAAAATCAATGGAAATCTTTCACGTTGGAAAAATTATTGAATAAATTGGTTTGATTCTAATATTACTTTATATTGCAGAAATAATTCTTCCAGCGATTCGGTCGACCTGATTCGATACGATTCGTCTTCCGTTTCGTAAACCTGTCCTCGAAACGTTATAGCGCAGGGATACTAGTGCTCTAGATCGGGTTTCCCAAAAGCAGTTTTAGAAGCCGCAGCTACCCTCGTCGAACCGACTTGCGAAACAGGCGTTGCTTGTCTCATCAATTACTCTCACAATGACGCGACACAAATAATCTGTTATCTTACATATCACCGATGCTCGTCGTTGACGTCCCCCACGTGGGACATGATATTATCAGATAGGCGATCAAGTCGGCTCGAGATATTCGAACGATCTTCTGAATGCAGGTCGAACGTATCGTTTCTCATTTCTGCAACGACGGGCCTTCGGCATTAATCTGG